TTGTGAAGAAAATAATTTGATTCATACTGTAGAGTAAGTTGACATTAATGGACCATAGATGATAAATCCAAATAACCAACATAATATACATCCTTTAACCAATTTTAAATAGTTTGGGGGAGATTGAGATGTTGTAGGGCGACATTGAAAATAGATGTGGATTCCATGTGTACTAAATTTTGTGTGGATTGTCTGAGACTAATAAGATGAAAATTAGGTTAAAGTCCTAAGTTGGGGGTCGATTTTTGAAAATGAGTGTTTATAAAGGGGCATTGCACGAATTATCAAAGTAAAATTTAAAAAAAAAAAAAAAGGCTCTTACTGTGAAACTTCTCTGTGTAGCGTTTATGACTCGAGTGATTAAGTCTGTAAGGGTCTTTAAAAACCTGGTACCCTATGGTCGTCTGACTTTAGAGTCATCGACTGAAAGCTCGTTACAAGGGTCATTTAGAAAGCTTAATAGAGAGGAGTTATAAAAAAAAAAAAAAAAAGCACTACTACATGTCTTGAGTAAGCCTCGAACGCTCATTTGAGAGAATTGGACTTTTGACGATGGATTATTAACTTAATTGATTCTTAAAGGTTGAAGCAATCAAAAATAAAGAGAATCAGCATTTGTTAACGTGTTGAGCTGCAATTAGTAAAATCAAACCAAATTAGAGAGGGTGAGGATTAGTTTTAAATCACACATTCAACCTTATATCGCACCTTGGGAAAAGAGTGAAAAGAATAAAGTTAGGGGTGTGTATCTTACGAGCGAAGAAATGAAATACTTGACCATAAATGGTCGGGAATTGAATCAATTTATGACTTTGTAATGCTTTACATGAATCTTCACACACACACACGTCAATTTTACATTGAATAGGTAGAGATTGATTTAGCATTGTGATTTTGAAATAGTTTATAGTTTCAACTCTGAAAGTCCAATCCTGAGGCTAAAAGCAGATTATCCAACCAAGTTATGTATGGAATTTTGTGTAGTTAAGTTTTGTTTTGTTTGAGGACAAAAAATGATTCAAGTTTGGGGATTTGATAAGTGTATTTTTTACGCTTATTCGGGGCTTGAAACTATATAAGTTTATTGTTCTTTTGGTAAAATACAACTTAAATTGTGTTATATTACATCTTGTAGGTAAAACTCAATGTTGGATAAAGAATTGGAGAAAATAAGCGAAATGTGTCGAAAAATGGAAAAATCCAAAGTAAGGGAATCGAAGTTTACACTATAGAAGTTGAGGGGCTCAATTGCATGGATTTGAAAGATTGGAGGACTTGGAGAAATACAAGATTTATTTGGGCCTTTGAAAGTCTAATTGGACCAAACAAGAGAGGGTTTGCTATTGTCGAAAGATATATATACACACATGTGAAATTGAGAAAAGGGGGAGCCAGCAGTTTGGTGAAATTGGGGGACAATATTTGAGGCATCAATTGATATATACACACACGATGACAAATTGGAGGACAAGAAATAAGGGACTCCTGAATTTTGTATATTATAAATATATATACATATATAAGGCAGCAATTTTGCACAGAAAAGGAGGAATCGGAAGCTGAAATAGTGAGAGAAGAAAGCTGAATTTGTGAGGCTGCTGTGTTGGAGAAGAAATAAGATTGGGGCTCCATGCATTATAATAGTATTTACACACATGAATTGGGCGGCAAATTGGGCTGGAAGAAAGAAAACTTAGTGCTGAATTTTGCAAATGTATACATACAAAAGATGGGCAGATTGTGCAAAAGGGGGAGGATTGGGCCGCTAGGGAGGGATATTATATACACACATCAAACGGCGGTTGATTTGGAGACTAATATCACAAAATTCGACAACTTGGGGAGGAAGACAGAATTGTGGGCTGCTAGAATAGATTTATATGTATACAAATATTAGCCAGCAACTTGGAGAAAAGAAAAAGTGGGCGGCAGCATGGAGAAATTAAACATATAAATTGGAGGAGACGCGTTACTTTGGAAATTAATCACATTCCGTCAATTTATAGGTGATGTCGTTTCACTTCTACATGTTTAATCTCGATAATATGCTAGGATAAATTCACTTGTGTTGGATGGATAATGAAACTATTTGATTTTTAGTTTTTTATTCGAGACCACGTGTTTTTAGTTTAATTCTTGCATTGTGATTTCATAAATATGCTTAAGTGTATTTTTGAATATTTGCGCACCATTAGGACAATAAGTTGCTTATTCGTAGTGTTGAAAAACTCACGGTAGGTAGA